TTTATTTCTAGTAATAATTTTTTGAAAAGTATTTCTAGAATTAAAACCTATTTTTACACTTTCATAAGGCTTTTTATCTCAGTTTCGCGGTTAATTATTTGCCCATAGCTGGAACCCTAACAGGTGCTACCACCCCGGGTCAGGGTGGACCTGGGAACACCAGCAATTAAGAGGTGGTTCCACGCTCCTCAAAACCTCCTCATCAGAGGCCTTGCTGTTGGACGGAGTTTATCGTCTTACCCTGGACGCGGATGTAGTTTATTGTCTTACCCTGGATGGTTGTGCGAATAGGACAGCCGAGATCGAGGGAAACACTACACCCTCACAGAATGGATATTAAGAAATGAGTCAAACATTTGTTCACATAACGTTATACGAGTACCCTTCGTGCCAAGGAAAACATAATCTTGCCAACACTTTATATAAAATTGGGCTTAATAAAAAAAAATTGCGAAAGCCTTGAAACAATAATCCGTCATTTTTATATCTAAAACCATATTTCCAAGGCTCAGTGATGTTAAAATTAAAAGGAATCTTTGTCGGGTGTCAAATAACACAGCCAGCTCATGAGAGACAATGAATTTGAAGTAACATTAAACGAATTAGAATTGGAGGTTTAGAAAAATTTCAAAGGCGTGTATAATGGACTCCTTGAAAGACACAAAGCGCCAAATTACGAAATACAAGTTCAAAATATGATTGAAGCATGTAAACATTTAGGATGCAGTATTTCACTAAAGATGCATTCGTTGCACTTAATCTACCCTACTGTTATTGTGACCTAACTACATTAGAATGAATTGTTCCTCCTTCATAAATACTAACTTGCGAGACTTCCTGAGGAGGCAGTCGGGACGCAGTATAAACTAATAGTTCTACTTCTATTTGCGGAATAATAACACTCTTATTTTGTATATATGCTCTGTTATTTCAATACACTTGTTCAACCCACCTTTCTTTCTTCTGGCCCATAACAGGCCACAACACCTACTTTCCGGAAAATTCAGTAGTAGTTCGCTAAACTTAGAAAAAAAAAACACAAATGCTCTAAAAATATTCTTTTATAAAAATTACCTTTCAGTAAACAAGCCTCTTGCATTATTGGAACTGATATCCCCATCTTCATTGCCATATTCACAACGTTTCGGCCGTGGTACGCCCCGGCCTTCTTCAGGTGATTGGAATTTCGAACCGAACACTTTACTTCATCCCCCAGGGTAGATTGGTCTCTTCCGGATGTCACAGTTACTTTCTATTAACCCAAATCTCAAAGCTGTTGCCTGGTATTGAACTCACAACTCTTGGGGTCCAGTCATTGGTCTAACTAATGTATTTATCTACTAGCCCATGTGTTCCTGAGGACATCGTTGCATGATTTTTGGGGACATATAAATCTATTTTATCAATTTTTTTCTATTATTATTATTGCATTTTTTACCAGAGCTTATATTGCAATTTTTCTCGTTATTTATTGCTTTTCTCTGGAATTCCTTATTACTGGTTCCCATATTGTATTCATTTCTATGCTTGGTCGGCTCAGAAAATTTTTGTAGTCTGGCATATGTGCTGATTCCTTAAGTTTTCGTATTTTCCAGTGATGTTCTCTATCTATTATTTCAACCTCATCCCACAGGAGGCAGTGATCTCCCTTACCCCTTCATATGTGGTCAGCCACGCCTGATTTTTACATTTCCCCTCGTCTTACCACTTTACGATGTTTTTGTAGTCTTACTTTAAGAGAGCGGCCTGTTCTCCTTTGTATTTTTTTTTACTTACCACAGCTGCACGGGATGGCGTGCACACAGTCCTTAGTCATGTTCTTCTGAGCCGACCAATCATGATACATCATCTCAGAGATATAGACAAGCCTATTTATTTATATATTTTAAATGAAATAAAACATTTATATGAACATGTTTAATACCTATACATATACACATAAATCTATTTTTTTTATAAATTTGAACAAATTTAACTTAGAAATTACAAAAAAAAAAACTGGTATCTTTTCGGGAAGAATGGAGTTCGTTTTCCTGATCTACTCCAAATGTCACCTTAGAAAACTACATTCTTTATCATGTTGGAAGACATTATTGAACAGTGAATTAGACCTTAAAACGCAACGAAATGAATGTACGTTTATACCTTCAGCGGCTATCGATATAAGATCGATTAAAAAGCGCCCTACGCTTGTCAATAGGCAAAATATGGTTATAGACTGTGACAATGAAAAGTCATATGTAATAAGGATAACAAGGGAAAAACAACTGAAACTAGGTTGGTCTCTTCTACGCCACACACCATATTTACCTGACCTTCTACTAAATGTTATCTTTTCGCTGCTGTCCAAAAGAAAATGGTGACTTATATCGCCGGTCAAAATGCTCCCGTGTTGCATTGTTTTTTCGTAAAAAGCAAAAAAAAAAAAGGCTCTACACTGCACGAGGTCGGTATTATAGTTCATCGAAAATTAAAATCCGTTTCAATTCTGGCCAATCGTCCTTTTACCTCGAGACGAGTCATCTACTTGAAAAAAAACAAAGGCTTCAGTGACCAGTTAGCAAATTTTTCCTTTGGATGACTACGATTGAATGGATCGAACCTCATGGCTTTATGCGACTTTCGATTCGTCTTTTTATCCTGCAAATTGTTTTGATGAAAAAACAACCTACTGTAATTAAAACCAGATTCCCAGCTTAGTCAAAAACCTTTTTTATATCAAAACCTACGACTTTTTTCTCATAAACCATTCGAAGTGCTGTGCCTGGTCAAACAAACCATTGCAAATAATGACCAATACAATGATATTGTTCTTTATATTTTCAAGAGTGACGTCAATAAAGAAAAACGGAAATTATTTATGGCTCAACCTAATAGTCTATATATAAAATTCTATGACTTCCATTAGTCCGCTCGTTCGTCATACCCTCTAAAACAACCATACATTGACCGATCAAAATTAAATTTTGGGAGGAATGTGCAAGCCGGTAAGTTTTACTAGTTAATACAGTTAGTTTTACTAGGTTGCGTAGCTTAGTACAATAAATTTTCATTGTTTGGGAAAAATTAAAAGTTTTATTATTTTACCTGCAAACTACTCCCACTATTTTAAAAACAATTTAATTATTAAAATAACAAAAATTTAATTATTAAAATAACAAAATTTAATTATTAAAATAACAAATTTAATATTTTAATAAAAATGAAATATTGTTTTTTGATTATCTTTTCTTTAAGTTTTTATATTAATATTTTATTTGTAAATGTATTCGTTGTTTAAAATGTATGAAGTTGCCTTCCTTGAGCATTTTATATAAATACTTTTAAGGTAATTGTTCGGATGGGCTCTTCACTATAATGCCTTGACTTCAAATTTACGCTCAGTACTTGACTGTCGGCGAAGTCTCACCAATTTACAATTAAGCTGGCTAGATGTTAATGTAAATTGAATGCTAACAGTTTATTCTCTCGCACTTCTCTCCTGTTGAACCTTTTTCCTGTCCCATGCATTCTGGTCAACCATAATTTGCCAAAATTTAAATGCAATATCAATCGCTATCTGCTGATCCTCAGATTATTCTTCCTCTGTTTTTGCTCCTTAGCAAATTTTCCCTAAACATTTGTGTCTCTGTGGCTTTACTGATTTGTTTGGGGTAAACTCGATTAAAAAAAAACAAACGATACAATACATCTGTTCTATAATGAGAAAATGAATTCAGTAGACAAAAATAGAAAGGGGCGTGAGACAATGATATGTCTTCTCACCGGACTTATTCAATCTTGAAGCGATCCTAAGATAATTAAATATCTTACCAGGATTCATTATTGGTGGCATCCAATGGAGAATGATCTCAGTAACAAGGAATTCCTAGATTACTATATTAATATTACTCTGCGATGACCGACCTCGTTAAGTGTTTATTATAGGTTTATATATGTTATTTGCGATGATGCAAACGTTTGTGATGTACGGTGGCCGTTAAAAATTAAGTCTGACTCAATATTTCAATGTTAAATAAAACAGTATTTAATTACGTCCGTAAATAAATACTTAACAAGAACAAAGAAGTAAAAATCAACCAAAGATATTTAACCATTTCATTAAAAACCTTATTAATACCGCGGATCGGCTTAACGTCCGGTAAATTCTTAATCAAAACCCAAATCATCTGAGCACAATAATTCACATTAATTCGACTCGATATTTCTACTCAATAATCACTCAATAATCACTGCAGTCAGTAGCCTGACACCGCTATTTATACACCTCGCGGGAAATATATATTCATAAGTCCAGAGTGCCAGGCTCAAACCTCGGTGTCAGAAGGTATTAATTATTTTCATATATGATACAAAATATATATATATATATATATATATATATATATATATATATATATATATATATATAATATATGTTTAATGTTTCACCCCAAGCCAGGCGGGAAGCCACTAGCACGCAAGGGTTTACAGAGAGTTGGAGCAAATAGGAGTGATAGAGGAAAGGATGAAGAGTAGAATAAGGGATAGATCAAGGCATCTGGAGACGTCGATTGGCATTACATTTGAATAGTTGGAGATTATAGATATCAGGGAAACAGGAAGAGGGGAGGGAGTTCGACAGGCGAGAGGTGCGAATCATGAAGCTGTTGGAGTAGAAGAGACGGTTACATTTAACAGTTTTGACAGTGAAAGGGTGAGAACGAGTTGCCAGCCTAGTTGAATGCTTAAATTCGTAAAGTCTGGGTAGCAGCGAAAGCAGCTCATCGGAGCAGTTACCGTGAAAGTATTTGTAAAAAAGACAGAGGAAGGCGACGGCACGACTGTGAGAGAGCGACTGCAGACGAGATGCCAGATCAGCGCCAATTACGTTGCATATCCGTCTCTGGATTTTATCAAGGACCTTGAGACAAACAGAGGGGGCTCCAGACCATATATGGCAGTAATACTCCGTGCAAGGGCGAATGGTTGAATAGAATATTTAGAAAGTATATATTCACGAAGGTTTGAATGAATGTGACACTATGAAAATGACACTTTGGCATGTGAAAGAAAGCAAGAAAGAAAGAAAGAAAGCAAGAAAGAAAGAAAGAAAGAAAGAAAGAAAGAAAGAAAATCGGAAAGTATGAAAAAGTAGGAAAAATAAAATAAAGCAAGAAAGTAAAAGACAGAAAGAAAAATAATCTAAAGGAATGAAAATTAAGAATGAAAATCAAGGGTAAGAGGAAAGGAAATAAAAAGTGGGTAGAGATAAAAATTAAGCAGGAATGAAAAAGACTGGAAGGAAGCTAGGAATAGAGAAAATTGGAAAGCAAAAACGAAAACAAATGAAAAACAGAAGAAAGGCAATCGAGAAATGAAGAAGAAAAAAGGAGAAAAGATTGAATAAATGAAAGAGAAAAAGAGAAGAAAGAAAGAACGAGGAAAATATAAAATATGGCTAATGATGGAAAAGAGAATAAGAAAAGAAGTCAAAGGAAAAAAAACAAAGAAAAAAGAAAGAAAATGGAAAGAAAATGGAAAGAAAATGGAAAGAAAATGGAAAGGATGTAAAAATGAGAATGAAATAAAATGAAGCAGCAAGGAAAAATGGTAAAATGAAAAAATAAAAACAAGGTATGAAAAGAAAGCAGAAAAGAAATGTAAAAAATGAGATAAAAACAGGACAACGTAGAAAAAAAGAGAAAAGGTAAGAAAAAAAGCAAATTTTTCCGACGTAAAAAAAACAAATCAGATATAAAGTTGAAAGAAAAGTGATGAAATTTTGAAAAATCAGAAGCCAGGAGCAAAAGAAAGGAGGAAAGGAAAGGAGCAAATGAAATGAGGAAAGGAGCAAATGAAAGAAACAAAGGAAAGAAGTAAAAGAAAGGAGCAAAGGTAAGAAGCAAAGGTAAGAAGCAAAGGAAAGAAGCAAAAGAAAGGAGAAAAGGAGCAAAGGAAAGGAGCAAGGAAAGTAGCAAAGGAAAGGAACAAAAAAAGGAGCAAACGGAATAGAGCAAAAGAAAGGAGGAAAGGAAATGAGGAAAGGTGCAAAGGAAAGGAACAAAGGAAGGGAGTAAAAGAAAGGAGCAAAGGAAAGGAGCAAAAGAAATGAGGAAAGGAAAGAAGCAAAAGAAAGAAGGAAAGGAGGAAAGGGAAGGAGCAAGGAAAGGAGCAAAGGAAAGGAGCAAGGAAAGGAGCAAAGGAAAGGAACAAAAGAAAGGAGCAAACGGAATAGAGCAAAAGAAAGGAGCAAAGAAAATGAGGAAAGGAGCAAAAAAAGAAGCAAATGAAAGGAACAAATGAAAGGAGTAAAAGAAATGAGCAAAGGAAAGGAGCAAAGGTAAGGAGCAAAGGAATTGAGGAAAGGAAAGAAGCAAAAGAAAGGAGGAAAGGAGCAAAGGAAAGGAGCAAAGGAAAGGAGCAAAGGAAAAAAGCAAGGAAAGTAGCAAAGGAAAGGAACAAAAGAAAGGAGCAAACGGAATATAGCAAAAGAAAGAAGTAAAGGAAAGTAGCAAAGGAAATGAGTAAAGGAGCAAAGGAAAGGAGTAAAAGAAAGGAGCAATGGAAAGGAGCAAAGGTAAGGAGCAACGGAAAAGAACATAAGAATGGAGCAAACAGAATGAAGCAAAAGAAATGAGCAAAGGAAAGGGGCAAAAGAAAACAGCAAAGGAAAGGAGCAAAGGAAAGAAAGTACGAACAAACATACGAAGGTGACCGAGAGAAAACGGCTGGACGCACGCGGACATCAAAAAGCAGAATGACAGCAAAGGAGAGTGTTTGAATATGACAAAGTATTCAAAACTATTCGATTTTGTATTTGATTGGTTTTGTTTTACGAAAAGATTGATTGATATTTTGGCAGGCGCGTCAGAAGCAAAAAAGAAAAGACGAGAAAAAGATTTGATGAAAGATTTCGTTGGGGGAATTGGCACAAAGGAAATAACATTACGTAGGTACATGCACACATAAAACACATAGACACACGCAATAACATAAATATAAATATATATATATATATATATATATATATATATATATATATATATATATATATATATATATATATATATATATATACTTGGTGTAACAACAAAATTGTCCAAATCGTGTAACAGCAAAATTGTCCAATTTTTAGATTAAGCTCTAAATCGTTGTATCTTAGAAATAATTGAAGCTAACTTATTTGAATTCTCCGAGGTTTGTATAACATTATTGCACTCTAATTTGATCAGTAAAAATGTATAGTTACTCTCTATACTTAACAGAATCATCCTGACGAAATTGATCATAAATGAAAATAACAGGTTTATCATTAATTAATCAAAGCTAAGAATTGAAGGTGCATGAAGGATTCACACACATATATAATATATATATATATATATATATATATATATATATATATATATATATATATATATATATTATGTTAGGATTAATTATTTTCCAAGTTACTCGAGATTATCTTTTTCCTCGTTAAATTTCTAACTTGCCTCACACGTTCCCGTCCGATTTCATTTTCAAATATATTTTTTTTTGATTTCTTTAACTCTAAGTTGAAATGTTGATCCTTCTTCCTGTTTCAAACCCCTGATCCAGAATTCCTCTTTACTGCTTACTCATTTCTAACATTATTTACTGTTCTCGTAATGGTTGTCAAATGAATTTTCAAGATGGAAGACTCAATATCAATAATGTTACCATTACTGAAACCCTAAATGATCTTTTTCCTTTCAAAATTGTATTCTCTTCCCATTCCAGCTGAATAACTCAAACGGTTTTTCAGTGAATTTTACGACAAAAGGTGCCAAGATGTTTAAACGTCTCGAAAAAAGCAACAAAATTAGTTTTTTTAATTATTAAACATTTTGGGGATGGACAATTTTGTTGTTACATGATTAGGAGAATTTCTTTGTTACACAAGGTATATATATATATATATATATATATATATATATATATATATATATATATGAAAAAATGTATATGCTATATATATATATATATATATATATATATATATATATATATATATATATATATACATTTTCTACATATATATATATATTGAATGTGCATATATATAAATATATATATTTTCTACATGTATATATATATATTTTATTAAATGTATATATATATGTATATATATATATATCGCTCTCATATATATATATATATATATATACTTTTTAAGATAAACTATATAAATATATATACATAATTTATCTTAAAATCTTGTATGTAAACATATATATATATGTGTGTGTGTGTGTGTGTGTGTGTGTGTGTGTGTTTGTATGAAGAAATATAGTCTAAAGATGTGCTATATTTATGGGATAAAGTGCTCAATAACAAAGATAGAACGTGTGTAAATATAAATCTAAAAGTGAATATTGAAGTCAACACTCAGAGGCGACGGGCTATTTCATACTAGGCGCAATCGTCAGGCCGCGAATGTTAGATTTTTTCCCTCGAATATGTATATGAGTCTGGGGTGCATAATCTGTTCTGGCGGTTATTTTTGCGGGAGTGACTGATTGTTCATTCATTTGTTTGGGTTAATTTATTTTACTTCCTTTTCATTTTCATGATGTTGTATTATTTATTCTTCTCGGTTTTTGATGTTTTTTTAACGTAGTATAAAATTTGGGAGGGATTTGCTTAGGTCATTTATTCAATAGTTTGTTTTGCTCTGGAAAGATAATTATATCTATTTATTCGTCCAATGATTGCGTCCAGCATGAAACAGCCTGTCGCCTCTGAGTGTTGACTTCAATGTTCACTTTTAGATTTATACGCGCACACACACACACACATATATATATATATATATATATATATATATATATTCGACTCACATCGGATTCGACGTATGGGTGTCAAGCAACTCACAAGCACATGAGATTTGATTATAGTGGTGAAGGCTTTGTGCTGAACCAACCACACCTTTTGAAAGCCCAAATACAGAAACCTGGTGTACGTGCCACAAGGTCCCCAAACGACTCTCACCATGTTTTGAATTCAGAGTCGTCCATCTAGTAGACCAGTTGCCATTCAAGGCTACAGAACACGGTCTTCCCTGTTAATGTCCCATAGCTGGATGGAAAAGAATAGTACTCATACCTTTCCCAAGGGTATCAGAACGTAAGTGAATGTAATGTATTCGAATGGCTATCCGAAATTTAATCCGAGCCGCTATCCACTGCTATATATATATATATATATATATATATATATATATATATATATATAGTTTATTCAAATTTAGGTAATCCGTATGGATAGACCTGAGGAGGATGATATCCAGAGCTCAATGTAAGATTCAGAGCATATATGTTTGAATAAAAGACAGACCACGTTAAGATTCCATGTAATAAGTTATTTCACCATAACCCTTTAACAGGGTTCTGGATCATCAGACTTTACTTCCAAAAGCTGAAATGAAGAATGAAAAGAAAATTCACAGGTTTTTACGGACCTCATCAAGAATACGCAAAGTTAACGAAGTGAGGAAGTGAGGTGGGAGAGAGGATATGAGTGTGTCATATGTATCATTTTAGTTTCCTATTTTAACCCCAGTGTGTCGGCTGGATGTTGCTCTAATCTAACGCGTCTCGTCTCTAGATAAAGGTGGTTAAGGGGTGGGCGATAAAGGCTACATTGAGGAAGACGCGTTATAACAGCCCCAATAAATTATCCGACAGGTTTCATTCAAATTCCTAGATGCTGTCAGTTCGCGTTACTTTAACGTGCATATTTGGGAGGTTAAGGTTTGATAAATATCTAAAATTTTAAAAACAATCTACGAAGAAATTAATTTGAAATTCAGTGGAGTTTTGGGTATTTCCTATTAAGCAGTCAATTGGAAAGATCGAGAGGCAGAACATTGAAAGAGTAATCCAATTTATACTTAGTACTTTTTCCACTAAAACTTTTATCTTATAGCTTGTTAGGTTGACATTTATTCGTGTGATTTTTGTTCATTAAGTGAACCTGTGATTGTTTTTGATTTTTGTTCATTAAGTAAACTCGTGGTTGTTTTTAGGCCCTTCTTTTATATTTTCTTATCTACACATGTCTCAACCCCCTATTTGTAACCACATACCTATATCGTCTTATATTTCTATGAGTTCCTATATACACCAACACACACATTCCCACGAGACGATACATGTATATTTCCATCTTTACACATATACCCCTGCAGAGAGAACGCACATCCACATGTCTCCATACTTGTTTCCATGTATACTTATACTTACATATATATATATATATACACACACAAGGACATCTGCATCCCCATATATACTCGTACGCACACATATATAGCTACACATCCATACGTATACACATATACACATACATACACACACCCATATATGTATACGCACACACATATGTATACACACACACACCCGCATACGCAATCTACAGACTTCTATCTACCCACATACGTTAATTTGCACTTATATATATCTCTCTACCTACGTATTTGTCCCTATTCTCATGTCCATCTGTGCAACCACTTATGTCTGCGTTCGAAGACTATCTCAGTATTTAATTACAATATCTCTGTCTTTGCACATATAATATTATCCGATCTTTCATATTTATGGCAAAACATATAAGTACCTAACTAATTGTACATCTCGACACTCAAAAAAAAAAAAAAACCGGTATGTGTCTTTTTCCGTATAAAAACATATACATGTACATATCAACAGGTGTCTCAGTGTGCAAATGCATTATCATGGTTGTATATATACAGTCATGTGTTAGTGTCCACTTGTGCATAGTAATATTTCTAAAAACAAAGGGAATATAAAACATTCAAAATTGCTGTTCCTATATGATTATTCCTTAGTGTACTTACTTAGGTTTAGGTTGTTTTTGTGTCGGCATTTAAATACTAGTTCATTATGTTTATTTAGCAGTATGTCCGGATCTTTATGTTTGATTATGAAGATTTTCTCCTTCAGACATAAGTTGCAACTGTCTCTGAAGTTTTGGGGAGTTTTGGCTCTTGATATTATTCTCCACTTTATTTGTGGTGTTAGGCCACTCTCCAATAAAGACCAATAATGATTTGATAGTGCTGTTTGTTTTTTTTTATTTTTATTTTTGAAGGATTGGCGATGGTTGTATAGTCGGTGTTTCCAATCTCCCGCTGATATTCCAATGTATATCTTTTTCTCTTCAACCTTTTCTTTGGGGAAAATTGTTGCTTCATATACTGTGTTCTCTGCCATGTACATTCCCTCAACTGGGCACTCTGATCCTGTCCTGCAGTTGCATGTTGGTTTGTCCATTTGTGTTGTGTCCTGATCTTGTCTTACATTATCCTGAAGGTCTTTTAAAATTTTACTGTTGTGTGAGCTAATAATTCTCTCCATATCGTTCATGCAAGAATAGCTAATCTTTAGATTCATCTTGTTGAATATTTTTTTCAGAGATGCATTTTTGCTAAAGTGTTTTTCTATCAGTTTTATGAAGTATTTACCTATGTTAATATTGGAGAGGTTACAAAAAGGTGGGTTGAACCATATAATTTTCCTTTTTCTGTTTTTGGGTTTAGTGGATTTTTTACTTACTGACTTATCTATGTAATTTAGTGTTTGTTTAAACTTGCTTTTTGACAGGGCTTTATTGTATTCCCATTTATTCTGGTTAAAAATTGTTTTACTGGAGGAAAGTTTATTTATTCTAGCATTTACTGTATTTGGGATTTGTTTAATTATTGATTTCGGGTGATTGGAGTGAATATTTATATATACGGGTGATTGGTTTTCCTTTTGGAAGGGTTTATAAGTTCAGATTAAATGTAACGTCTAGGAAGTTTACTATTTTTAAGTTGGAAGAAATCTCGATTCTAAATCCTAGAAATTTGAAGGCCCTAATTATTTTCTTTTGTAGTTGGGATGTTAATGGACAATTAGTATTAGGTACAGTAACTAACCCGTCATCTCTGTATAGTCCTATATTTTGAGGGTCAAGGAATCTACTTAGGATATCTAAAATGTATATACCTATTAGGTCTGCTATTTGAGCTGAATCAAAAGATCCCATTGGGACATCAAAATTGTCTCTATCTTTTTTAATCCAAGTAGTGTTGTTCAGTTTTAGTATGGATTGTCTAGAGTCCATTATGATTTTTATTTCTTCGTCAGTAATGTCAGTGTGGATTCTGGCAAAACTTAAGCTATTTTCTAATAATTCTTTAGAGATTGAGGGGTAGAAGTCGATGATATCAAGTTGTATAAAAGTAGTATTATTTTTATTCTTTATTTTTTGGAACCAGTTAATGGTGTCTGATGAGTCTTTCCAAACTTGTTGTCCTTCTTATAAGAGCCAGAGACATTATTTTGAATCAGATGGTTGTATTCCGAGGGATTCATTTTGTAAATATTTTTAGATTTGTCAGCTCTGATCCATAATTTTTTTGAATTTTTTATATTTGTGATGTCTTTTTTGAGTTTGGATTGGAATGGGTTGTATTTTTTCTGGAAGGATATTTTCTTAATTAACTCAATTAAGTCTTGTTCAAAAGGTTCTAATAATTTATTGTTTGGTGGAGTGTTTTGAGATTTAAAGTAAAAGGCTTCATCTAGTTTAGTGGGTTTGTTATGAGGATTAAGATGGAAGTGAATTTTCCACCTCATTCTTTTTATGACGTCAATGATATATATATATATATATATATATATATATATATATAAAACATAAATATATATTTATATTTATATATATATATATATATATATATATATATATAACAGATAGATAGATAGATAGATAGATAGATAGATAGATAGATAGATAGATAGATAGATAGATGTGTGTGCCGCCATTTCATCTCTACCAGTAGAAAAACAGCAAATTTGACTTCAAAAACTGTCTTCCAAATTACCACTACAAATATGTACGTATGTGTTTATATGCGGGTGTGTCTGTGTCTGTGTTCGTGTGTCTGTGTATGTGTGTGTGCATATCTGTTTATGTGTGTCTGTGTGTGTGCCTATGTCTGTGTGTGTGTTTGAGCATGCGTGAGTGTTAATCCATCAGATATACTACTTATAAAGAGACAAGAATCGAAGAGAATGAATTCAATGAATCGAACAAAATATAAAGTAAGACACAAATGCATTTTTCTCACCTGATTTTTTTCACCTACAGATGGAAAGAAATAAAAGAGCGGCCAGTATTAGATATTGGCGAATATCATTTAACTAAACTACGCCTGCTGAATTTGTGTTGACACAGAAAGGAAACTAAAAGAATACATAGACAATAGAGTAATGATATACACATAGTAATGATATTGTAATGACAATATAATAATAAAAATCAAAAAGACAAAAATTATTTACTGTAAGAAGACAAAACAAAAGGTCACCAGCAAAAGAGCTTTCTCAATTGTATGAATTCTCGTCGCGGGAATTTCAAATCAAGAAGAGGGGATAAATTTAATGTTCAACGGAAATTCTGACACAGACATAAAAATGCAAAACTATGAAGACAGGAGAATATTGTTAGAAACAAAGAAAAGAATACAAAATTGCTATTTAATATCTAATTACGTATATGCTGAATATTTTTCCTAATTTTTGTTCCATTCTCGGCCATAATAAGACGAGCTTTCTTCTTTTTCTTTCTTTCTTCTTCTTCTCATCGCCATCCACCACCTTCTACTTCTCCTCCTTCTCTTCCACCCCCTCCTCCTGCTCCTTCTTCTTCCTCCTCTTCCTACTTCTCATCGTTCTCCTCCACTTTCCTCTTCTTCTCTTTCTCCTCCCTCTTCTTCTCTTTCCCCTCCCTCTTCTTCTTCTTCCCCCTCCTCCTCCACTTTCTTCTTCTTCTTCTTCTCGTCGTCATTCTCTTTCTTCTCCTCCTCCTCCTTTTTCTTCTCATCATCATCCTCAACCTTCTTCTTCTCCTCTTTCTCTTCCACTTCTCCTCCTCCTCCTCCTCCTCCTTCTTCTTCTTCTTCTTCTTCTTCTTCTTCTTCTTCTTCTTCTATGTGACGCGTTCTTTCATGACGTGAGCAATCATGCCTCTCCACAATTTTTTTTACCTCCCCTAATCCCTGTTCCCCCATCCATTTACACAAGATTGTCAGGTAGATAATTCCTCTGTCTTCTTGCTTTCAATAAGTCTTATGAGTGTCAAATGTTCTAGGCCGTCTTTCCTGATTATGTGACCTAGAAATTTCATTTATCTCTTTCTGATATTACATATAAGTGTCCATTTTGTTTCTATTTTATCTAAAACTTTTGCTCACATGTTTCAGTCTATGGTATTATCAGTATCCATCAGTAGACTCACATTTCTGTTTCCTCAAGATTCCTCTTCATCTGAGAGGATACTCTCCACTTTTCACTGCCATATAGGATACCTATATTACATAACAGAATACGAAATTTGCCTGTTTCTTAATACTTTGCATAGATTTTTAAAAGCATATTTCGCTATCTCAATGCTCTTTCAGTGTCGCATTTTTCGACTACTGTTAAAACACCTCCCATATATTAAACTTTTGGATATAATTAATTTATAATCCACTACATTTATTACATCAAATGTTATTTCTGGAGTATGCACCTGTTTGAATAGACGACCCGATTATTAACAGTTTGTATTACGTCTTCCTCTCTACGGATTCGAGAAAATTTAATAAAGCATATGTGCTCTCTCGACAAGATTCGAACCTCCGTCTACTTTTGTAGGTGAAATCACCAACTGATAGAACACTTGTCAACACAGCACCCTGTAAATAACGACGGCAACTCGCCAATTTAGTTAATAGATAGATAGATAGATAGATAGATAGATAGATAGATAGATAGATAGATAGATAGATTAATGATCATTCATCGATAGATATCATCATACATAAGCTGTATGATAAAATCTTTTTTATGAGTGGAAATTATGTGGTCGCACGATACACTAGATCGTGTATTACACGAGTATATACGGTATATATATATATATATATATATATATATATATATACATAATGAGAGAAGGACTAGAGAGAAAAGCAGAGAGACTGAGATAGATAGATAGATAGATAGATAGATAGATAGATAGATAATGTTCATTCATAAACAGATAACAGACATTTGCTTTTTTATTCTTTGTTTTCCTAGACATCATTATTCCTGCGTTAGCAATTTTATTTTCAGTAACATTGTTCCCAATTTTATATTCATAAATAACGATTTATTTATGTGTGTGTGTGTGTGTGCGTGTGTATTTGTATGCGTGTCTGTGTTGCTTTAAAAAAACACATCTGTTTATCATTTTAAGTAATATGCATATCGCAACCTCTTACCGATGACTGCATTTTGTCGAACCGATATGTTAGACAAAATTGCATCGATGCTGATAAATCTGCAAATTTTCCCACAGGCAAATTTTATCGCATATCTCGAAGTGACACTATCATTTCCTTTTAACAGTTTTTGTCAACATTTCTCATATAATAATGTCAGGAGCCTTTCGGAAATCGAGCCTTCGAAGCGGCTTCTCTACAATCACCGCATGATAAGCAAAACAAAATCAATGGTTGACTCCTGGAAGGTAATATATTTTTTATCCAATTATCTGAGTCGATGTTACCGTTTTGACACAATGTAGTATACTCTTTTTGTCTCAGCTTTGTTTTTGTATATTTTTTTTTCGTTTCCAGTATGGAAGCTCGGATTTATTCTTGATTTTTGAATGAGGAAATATCCGGGGGATTTGGTTCAGGAAAATCGGTTAACTGTTTTCCTGTCCAGGCCAAATTCTATGGATCTTGCAACTGAGACGTTTTTTAGTATTTTTCTTACACAATCTAGAAACCAATTCTAATTAAATGAAATTAATTTATAGTTTCAAAAGACATAATCTCTACGGAAAAAAGGGTGACTTATTTTTTAAAAATCAGTTCTAAAATATGCTGCCCGAAAAACAAAACCTTTACGTTCTAAGCTACTTTCACTTGTTAAATCATTTTGGGGTATGCCAAGAATATCTACCCTATCAGTTGCAGTATTTACTCTGCCGGTTGAGCCACTTCTTCAACCGAACACGCGGCTTCCAAAAGAAAGTTGACCATGACCAAACTTAGCAGTGGCCATAGTCATTCGGACGTGCAAATCCATAGAAGGATTTTCAGTAAGAATTTGGATTCACAAACGGATCCATAGTGAGATCCAGTTTGAATTCAGAGATCCTTCTCTTATACTGGTCTCCAATCAAGGCTACAGGACACCTATTTTTCCCATAGAATAGATGGATTCATATATTTCACAATGGTATTAGTACGTAAGGAAATGTATTGAACTAGGTTGAAATTGGAACACGGCTTCCCAATTCCTTCTCTCAAGCTGCTAACCATTATTCCAGCGTGCCATTTAAGCTGAAAGAAACTGGGCACACAAATACTTAAAATATATAAAATTTAGTTAAGTCTGATGGTTGATAAATATCTCAAATTTGCCTCAAAAATTATTGAACGAAACCTAAACGCTCAATATATATATATATATATATATATATATATATATATATATATATATATATATATATATATATATATATATATATATATCTGTGTAGCTATAGATAGATAGCTTTAGATTAATTTTGTAACGAACATTTTAATCGAAAAATTTAGGTTATGTTAAAAAACGCATTTTATTTCAGTGAAAATATAAAAGTTTTACTGAAAGATAAAAGCTTCTGCCCATTATCACAAACTTGTACGAAGACATTACCGAACGTAACTTTTTGATAGGCCTTTATTCTGAGCCTGCTTGTGGCAACTCTGTACCTGATTCTGAGTAATAAAAAAGGGTATTTCTGAAAAAAAGCATTGTGAATTAAACACATCACCTGGATTAATGTCCAGCAGTCAGAAGAACGGATTTTTAAATCCGCGATAATTTAAACGGATAACTTCGTGAGCCTACATACAAAAATATAGGGAAGCCTGTCCGACGGTTAAAAATACTATTAAAATACTCTAAATCATAGTGGATAGTTAAGTCATGGTCTGAAATAGATAAATTAATATTATCAGTAGGAAGTGAATGGAAATTAAAATCCGACTCAGTGAATATTAATGCAAACAATTTTGGACATTTCAAACAAACCCGCAACATTTTCTTCGACAATAAAAAGGGATTTACTCCCTATTATTAATATTTTACATGACTTATCAAATTCAACAAAGTAACTACGACGACATTTTTCCTCATTCAACAACAGACGATTTCGCGTATATTTTGGTGTATAAAACTTCTAAAATTAACAATACATCTGCAAAGAACATTCTTAAAGTTTATCCCCACTTTTACATGAATATTTTTATCTACCAAACTTAATTTATATTAGGTGCTAAAAAATTTTTAGATATTTTTTTATTTATTTAAAGTAAACAGTTTCTTTCTTGTTTCAATTTGTCGCCGAGTATGAATGGTTATTGTTGAGCGCCAAATGAGTTAATTAATTTTGTTTTTTCGATATAATGGAAAATCCCCGTAAAAAGTTATTTGGAAATTTGTTCTCCTTTTTAATGATAAAAGATAAAAGTATCTACATAATATGATCGGATTTGATAGACGTAAACATGATAAATAAGATACGCCGTATCATTAATGAGGACGATACAGCCAATGTCAGAGTTAAAAGAAAATAAAACAACAAATTAGAAAATATAACAGGACTTTACTCGGGTGCTGTGAAAAGCCTGGATCTTAAAAATTGATATCATGCCTCTAAGTGTTGTCACCCTTGAAACTCTACCAAAAGCAAGAAAATTGAAATTGGATAGATTTAGAAATTCCAGGAAGAACAGACTCTATCAGTTATCCAGCGTTTAAGTTTGTGGGAACCCTGAGAAATGCTAAAGATCTAAAGTACTTTCATGTCATTCATCAAAAAGATATCTGGTGCGAATATGCAACCGTATCTAATAATAATAATAATAATAATAATAATAATAATAATAATACACACTGACAGAATAATCAAGGCCAACCGCCCAGATAAAGAGCACAAACAAAAAAAAAGTGCCTCCTTATTGATATGCCAGTCCCTGCTGACTGCAGTGTATCTTTGAAGAAATTCAAAAAGCTGTCAAAATACAAGGACCTTGAAATAGAAATCTCGAAAATGTGACTTATGGGCATATCTACAATCCCTGTTGTAGTTAGAGCCCTAGGACTGGTTGGAAAAGATTGCAGTAGACTAATTGAAAGGATTCCTGGAAGTCCATGCCTAAAGGAGATACAAAAAATTGTTCTGACAAGTAGATCCCACACTTTTCGAAGAGCTTTATCTATGTAATACTTTTTTTTTTGTTAGTGGAAAGTGTCACGATGCCATTTCTAACCTTAGATCCCTGGGCGGGACCCGGAAAGAAATGCGTAAACGCCAGAAATCAAAGAAAATAAAAATATTAATAATAGTAATAATAATAATAATAATCCTTTAACACAGCATGGGGATGTGAATAACCAAGTTATACCTAAATTTATTAAATTATACCAAATTATACCTAAATGACACCAGAGGGACTGCCATCTCCAACCGCCAGAATATCCGACGAGGAAACTTTCTTGGACACTCCATGTTACTTCTTCTGTTTTGTCTCTTCTCACTCACCCTTACGCATGAACTAAACAACAATAGATACAAACTAAAGAAGAAAGTACTCAATCACCTTCTATACATTGGTGATCTCAAACTCTTTGCCAAAGACGACAATGGGTTGAAGTGTCTCCTCTATACTATAAAATGTGCCAGTGATGACATAGGTATAGATTTCGGATTAGATAAATGTGCAAAAGTAACATTCAAGAAAGGGAGAATTACAGAAACACATTCAATAGATTTAGATATTGTCACAAAATTAGAGAACTGGAACAAGATGAAGTTTATAAATCCGTAGGAATTACCGAAGGAAATGGAATACACCATATCCAAATTACAATCTTACCAACACAAGATATAGAGTGTTGAGTGCAGATACAAAAATAAAACTGACTGAACTACTAGACAAGGTCGTAAATTCAAACGAGGAGAAAGAACTAACTTCAACCAGCTATAGAAACACCCAAAGATACGAACAAGGAACAAAGCCCTCTGCTCGGGAGGTTTTGACGAGCATGGAACCCAACTCTTAATTGCTGTTATTCTGACGTCCACTCTGACCTGGGTAATAGCACTTGTAGTGTCCCAACTGTGGGAAAATAGTTAGCCCCTAAAACTGGGGTCAAAACTCTATAAAAGTATAAAGATATATTTTATAGTAATAATACCAGCAATACATTTTCATAGTAAAAAAAAATGTCAGCAATATCATGGTGTAAAAAAAACAGAAATCTATTTGTGTAAAAGAAAAGACTAATGCCCCGAAGAAAATTAAATTTCGGCATTAAATGACCCATAAGGAGTCGACATGATGCTAATCAAACAAACAAATAAAATATGAATATAAGATGCTAACATCAAGTAAGTGTTATGGTCCGGTTCCTTGTACCACGTTGATAGTCCAAGGTAGAACCAATAATGAAGAACTCGAATACGGATATGGAATAACACAGATATATTACAAACAGGAATATATACAGAGAGGTAGAAAAGTGTTAGTACGAACAATCAGGTTTAGTAGTAATTGTATGAACGCGACTTTGTATCGGACTGCCTCTGACTCGACTGACTGACTCCTGACGGACTTCACTCCAAACTTCAGGCCCTAACTCTAGACTTCAGACGGAACGGTATTTAGTCACCTTACCCCCACGAGGGCATCATGTGGCACAAGACAGGTTTAACGTGGGCTCGGCCAAAAATAGGCCCTTTGTACCCGTATAAACGGGTTTATGGTCGGTTTACCTCTCCGAAGGAGACTCCGCCTTTGGCGTAGCCTCGTTCGGGTTCCTCCCCGCCGGAAGGCAGAGAGTTCAACCGATCAGCCGGTCGCCCGACTTCAGACGGAATGATATTCAGTCACCCTCCCACGAGGGCGTCATGTGGCACAAGGCCTTTTTAACGTGGGATCTCCGAGCCCGTGGGATCTCCGAGCCCGTGGGCTCGGCCAAAAATATACCCAT